CAACTGTCTTCCCCACCCATCCCAGCCCAAACAAGTCGCCTTTAAAGTAAGGATACCCAGAATAACTCTGGAGCCCCACTCCATTCTGGAGCCTTTAGGCACCTAGAATCACCTAAGTGTTTCAGACAGACTTGCTCCTAACTAGAGGCTTTCTGACTTGTCTAAAGCCAATTGTTGTCTTTCCTTCTATCCTTGAACCCTTTCTCCCAGCCCCTAACTTAAAGTAGAATAAGAGGTCCCAGTGAAGCTAATACACCTATCCATCATCCCAAAATGCCTCGGAATTTCAAAGGACTCTGACACAGAATGATTCTCCTGCAGATTCTGCTAACTATATCAAAGTAGACTTCCTTATGTCAAATCTTTATATACATTATGGAAGCAGGCTTAGGTTTCTGAAGAGCTGGGTTCAAATCCTACCTCTGAATCATACTACCTGAAAAATCTTGGACATTTAGTAAAACATAGTGCTAGCTAAGTTTCAAAGTTATACTCATATTGTGTTTTTATCTCATATGCAACTTACTTTGACTAAAACGAAAATTAGCAACACTAAAAACTAATAATTTCTTTCACTTTCTCAATAAGCATAGGAAGTAAACAGTAATTCTATCCATCTTATAGACTAGGCAAAGATACTAAAGTGACTTGCTCCAGGCCACAGAGAATTGATTAGGAAAGCCAAGAAAATAGGTACCCAAAGTAGTTCCCTGCACAGAATTAGATAAGCTTCTTTTATTTTACAAATGGAATTAATTTAAATTTTATATTCACGTATAATGAAATAATGAGCAGGCAAATGATAAGTCATTGTAAAAGATACATGTTAAGTTTAGTCTTAGAATTCATAGCAACAAATTAAGAAATGTTATTCTGGGGAATTATAAACATAATTTGACGTGAAATATGTCCCTGTACATCAAAAATACATTCCGAAAGGAAGAAAGACTAATGTCTTTCATTTTCCTTCCTGGGTGCAGGTAAATGGAAAGAAAGGGTTTCTTAATTAAGACTACAGTTTACACCATTCTAGTGGTCCCTCTACTAACCATGAAAAGTTAAGATTTTAAGTGAGGCATTAGTAGTAGCACTTAAAAAAAACCTGACCAACTAAGCTTCTACAGAGTGTTAATCTCCTCCTCTCTTCCCACCATACACACACTGAAATGGACAACATTAGAGCCTAAGATACTCCTGAAAATAAAGGCATTACCGTTAGCGAGAGAAAAAAAAATAAAAATATGAGGCACAATCACACATTATCTATATAACCTATAGCTTCTAACATAAGAATGAGATAAAGCTAAAGCTAAAGACATCTTTAGAAGAAGTGAAGTAGACTAGAGGCAGCAGTTAAGCACTTCTAAATTCCAGACCCATTCAAGAAATAGTGCCAGTATGACACTTGTCCAAAGGTGGGCAATACAGTATAACGGAAGGAGCCCTGGCTTCAAAGCCAAAGCATCTGGATTCAAATATGACCTTGAGCCTTGGACTAAGGCTACAGGGGCCACAGCTATTTTACACTAATCCATAATCTTCTGGAAAATACGGATCATGATTTCACGGTTAATGGATAGCTTCCTCATAAAAGTTACTACTAAAATGTCCTCTATGTCACTGTCAATAACATGCTCTAAAAGTGTCTATCACCAAAACAAAGAGCTGTTAGTGCAAAGACAGATATGTACTAGCCTACTGCAACATTTAGCAATAGTTTCCTAAATGGTCTCCCTGCTTTGCTTCTCATCACTTCAATCTGTCCTACATACTGCTGCCAAAGTAATTTTCTTTATGTACTGATCTGATCATGTGACCAACTCAACCAACTCCAGTGGTTTCCTATTACCCCGAGAATAAAATGTACATTTTTAAAGTGCTTTAAAATCTGGCCCCAACCTAACGTTTTAGCTTCAATGGACATTTAGGTTCTGTCTATTCCTCACTCACCATTCTCTCTCCCACTGCCATCCTTTGCCCTTTCTCTCATGCCCAGAAAGCACTCCCTAATTTACTTCTACTTCAGAATCCCTTTCTTCCTTTCAGATGCGGCCCAGGCACCATCATAGGCACAAAGCCTTTCCTGATCTTCTGACTGCTAGTACTCTCCCTGCCCAAATGTTTCTATCTGATTACTTTGTATATGTATTTAACTTATGCTTTGTGTGTGCGTGTGTGCGTGTGTGTGTGTGTGTGTTGTCTCCCCCACTAGAACATAAGCTCATTGTTAGTAGGGAATGAAATATGCTGTCCACCTCTGACAGAGAGGTGAACGACTTAAGAGTACAGAATGACATGTAAATATAGATGAATGTAGGATAGCCAATATAGAACTTCATTTTGTTTATACATGTTTGTAACAAGAGTTTCATTTTTCTTATTTTTTAAAAGACATACTGTGGGAGGCCGAGTCCTTATGGAAAATCTCTAAGTCCTTACAGACTTTAGGAGTCCTTACATTCAGAGGCTTGCCTCCAGACAAACGCTCCCATGATGCTTGCCCTAGCTCCGTTTGTTATGGTTTGTCGATTCTAAGTTCTCACTCAAGTCCAGCCTTGAGGCCAGGTGGCTGACTTGGGTATACAATACTAAGAACTGGGCAGGGAAAACAACAGATATGAAATTTGGCATTAAAACTGCTTTCTTATGAGAAAATGAGGATCTTTAGCTGCTTAGATTTATGCTATTAATTAGCGCTAGATCATTTCTCATGGTAAAAGTTGTTTTCTATAGTATATAATCTTGTAACACCTGAAAATAAACTAGTCTTACGAGCATCAGTCTCAGACTTGCCTAGGCCAACTTTTCTCTCTCCAATTCCCCTTCCCCTTTTTTCTTCACCGCTCTGTGGCACATCACGCTGGCTGCTGGCAGCTGGCGCCCAAACAGGGACTCTCGATCCTTGGATGGGAAGGTTTTAGACCCCGGGGGAGTAGAAGAGGTTAAGAGAGACACAGCGGCACCTTACTGACTCGGAGTTCCACTACAACGATGGGAAGAGGTAAGGGTCAGTCATGTTGAAAGAAACACAACACTAGGGTTATTTGGGGGATTTCTCTGCTCTCCTTTAAAATGGGTCAGACTCAGTTTAAAAATAGAGAGCAACACCTTCAAGCTTTCTTTCCTCTCATTTGGTTAAAGCATGTTCTCCCTGGAGAAAACTCATTCTCCAAGACCTTGTGGAAAATTTTGCCCGGTTTCCATAACATCTGGAAAACCATGAAAAGAAAAAATAAACATAAAAATAAAAATAAGTATTACTTGATTTGTGCAAGGAATTTCTAACAAACCCCTCTGAGCTTTTGAATTTTCCCTGTTATATTTTTTCTGCATTTGTTCTGTGTTCATCTGTGTAGTATGAGTGGAGTGTCCGTGCATGTAATCTGATAACCTTTGCAACTAGGCAGTAAGAATAGCATTCCAGGGACTGTAGCCGGACTCTGAAATGCCACTTTCTTTCTCCCCTTCTCCCCCCCTAATACCAGCTGCCTCCCAGAAGTGGGTGAATGGGAGAGAGAAGGAGAGAAAAATACTTTATTATTTAGGTTATATGATTGGTAAAAGGCAAGAAAGTTTAAGCATGCAGGAATGAGAGAAGTATGGGTAGGAAGAAGAGCACAATCTGTGCATGAACAGTGTGAACAGAGGGTTTGAGAATAAAAGATTTGGAAACTTTTGGACAATCCGTTAGGAAAAAATTCTCTTTCTCTTTACATTCTGAACTCTGGCCAAGTTTTTGAATGCAGATGGAAAGATAAGCTGTTGGAAAATTTTCTCTTCCCCTCTCCCATATTCAGCTTTGGCCGGGTTGTGGCGCCCAACTTGGCCGGGGCTGGGGTGCGCGGGACAGAGGACGAGAAAGAGGAAAGGAGGGTGAACTTTTTCCCTCAGATCAAAAAGAAAAGTTTCTATGTATTGGAACACAACCAAAAGATAATTTTGTTCATTTTAATTGGTAATGTGTTTATTTCAAGTTTTAAAAATCTAGTATTGTTTCCAACTGGTAAACTTTTGTATCAGTTATGTCAATCAGTTTTTCATAATTTGGATGTTATTAAAATGTGAACTAAAAGAAACTAAAAGATAGTAGGAAAATTGTGTAAAGCCAGTTAAATTACTTTATCAAGCCCTGCTAATCTTGTCTTATAATGTTTTATAACTGTTAATTAGAAAATCAAGTATTTTCATCTTTACCTGTAATTAAAAAACAGCTTATAGCTAAAAACAATTTGACTATCACTTATGAAAATTACCAGATTGTTAATTAAGTTATCTGAAGTTACTGTTTTAATGTTAAAACCTAGAATTTTTAATTACTTATGAGTGAAAAGGAGGTGAGGTGAGGGGCACAAGGCAATTCCCTTTGCTTTGTAAACTTGCCAAGGCTCCTAGAAACCATCTATGTGGGCAAGGTCATCTGCCCTGAGAAAAGAAATTGTTTGTGTTATACAGTTCCTAAACAATTAATTTGGCTTACTAAGAAGTTGCAACTTTATGTACAATAGATATGAAATTTGGCATTAAAACTACTTTCTTATGAGGAAATGAGGATCTTTAGCTGCTTAGATTGTTTATGTTATTATGTTATTAATTAGCGCTTGTAGATCATTTCTCACGGTACATTTCTCACGGTTTTCTATAGTATACAATCTTGTAACACCTGAAAATAAACTAGTCTTATGAGCATCAGTCTCAGACTTGCCTAGCCCAACTTTTCTTTCTCCAATTCCCCTTCCCCTTTTTCCTTCACCGCCAGCTGCTGGCAACATACACAGAATAAAAATAAGGGGCTGAAAAAAATTACTATGCATGAAGTAAACCCAAAAAAGCAGTAGCTGCAATCATGCCAACAAAGCAAAAAACAAACATTTAAAACATAAAAAGGAATAAACAAGGAAGTCACATTACACTGAAAGGAACCAAAGACAACAAACCAATATCAGTATTAAATTCATATGGTCCAAATAACTTAGGATATAAATTCACATTGTGAATATTACCTGAGTTACAAGAAGATGACGGTTTTCAATGTCTCTCCCTCACTTCTGGATAAATCTAATGGAAAGATAAAACAAAAGGGAAAATACAGACCTGAACAAACTGCTAAAGAAGCTAGACTTAAAATACCTATGGTAATTTATAAATAGGACTTTAAAAAAATATGTGTATGTCTTAGCACCATATGAAATATTCTACTTTTGACCATGTATTTTGGCACAGAGACAGTCTAAACAAACAAAAAAAGTAGAAATAATAAACACATCCTTACACACAACGTTTAACAAAAATAGTCATTGGTTCAGGGGCCACAAACAAAAGACACTCAGAGATTGAACAATGAAAACCTAAATAATGAGCATTTCAAAGCACAAATCAGGGAAACAATAATTATGTGTAAGAAAATGATAATGATGAAAAACATACCAAAATTTTGAGGGTGCCAGTAACACAGTCCTTAAATAAACCTAAAATAAGCATAAAAAGAGGATATTATAAATTAGAAGAGAAATAGATAAACTGGAATGAAAAAAACTATAGAAATGATAAATAAAAGTAAAATCTAGTTCTTTGGAAAGTCTGATGAAAGTGATTAACCTTTGGCTAATCTGACTAAAACAGGCAGAAAATCAAATCAATAAAATTAAAGCCAATAAGCAAAGTGAAATCACAACAAAATCGGAACAAAAATAATAATCATAACATACTACATACAGTTATACGTTTAAAAAAATTACAAACAACCCAGCAATAGCACTTCTAGGGCTATATCCCAAACAGATCATACAAATGGGAAAAGGACGCACATGTATAAAAATACTTAAAGCAGCTCTTTTTGTGGTGGCAAAGAATTGGAAATTGAGAGGATGCCCATCAACTGGGGAATGGCTGAGCAAGCTGTGGTATATGAATGTAATGGAATGCTATCATGCTATAAGAAATGATGAACAGGCTGACTTCAGAAAGATCTGAAAAGACTTGGTCTGATGCTAAGTGAAGTGAGCAGAACCAGGAGAACATTGTATACCATAACAGCCACGTTGTGCGATGACTAATATTGATAAACTTCCTTCCCAGCAATACAAGGATCTAAGACATCTCCAAAGGCCTCGTGATGGAAAATGCTATCCACATCCAAAGAACGAACTATGGAATCTGAATGCAGATTGAAGCATACTATTTGCTATATTTTTTTCTCTTCTGTTTTGTTTCCTCTTTCTAGTGGTTCCCCCTATTGGTTCTAATTCTTACTTAACAACATCACTAATGTGAAAATGTTTAATAGGAATATATATGTATTGCCTATATCAGATTGTGCGCTGTCTTAGGGAATGTGGTGGGGAAGAAGGGGGAGAAAAATTTAAAACTCAAAAGCTTATGGAAGTGATTGTTGATAAATCAAAATAAATAAATAAATAAAATGCCATGGATATGGGTCAAGGATACATCTGAAAATAGCATTATTTCCTAAAAAAAAATTGCAAACACAAAAGAAATAGAGCACTACCTTAAAAAATATAAAATATTCAAATTATCAGAAGGCCAGATAGAGATCCTCAATAATGCAATCTCAGAACAGGAAATATCACTAGTTTTAAAGGAACTGACAAAGGAAAAAAGTGGTCCTGATGGATTCACCAGAGAAATTTATCAAACTTTTAAAGAACAGCTAGTACCAACACTTTACAAACTATTCTCAAAAACTAAGATAGAAAGTACTCTACCAGAATCCCTTTATGAGCCAGATACAGTCCTAATTACCTAAACCAGAGAAAGATAAAAATACATAAAGAAAACTGTAGGCCAATACCATTAATGAATATTGACTCAAAAATTTTAAACAAGAACTTGTTAGACTACCACAATTTATCCTAGGAATCATTCATTATAACCGAGTTGGATTTATACCAGGGATGCAAGGATGGTTCAACATTAGGAAAACAATCAATATCATTAATAATATTAAAAACAAAAACATCCAAAACCACATGAACATCTAAATAAAGAAAAAGCCTTTGACAAAGTGCAACATACTCTTATGCTACAAATGCTACAAAGAGTAGGCATAGAGGGACCTTTCTAATATCACAAAAATTATCTGGATAAAAACAGAAGCAAATATCTTAAGCAATGTGGATATACTAGAACTATTCCCAAAAAATATGGAAGTAAAGCAAGGAGGCCCACTCTCCCCACCATTATTTGATACATGTATGGAAATGCTAGCAACAGCCTTAAGGTAAGAAAAAGATATTAAAGGCATAAAAATAGGTAAAGAGGAGCTAAAGCTATCAATCAATAAATCAAAAAACATTTATAAGTACCTACTCCATGCCAGGTGCTGTGCTAAACTGATAATCTGATGGTATAATTTGGAAATTCCTAGGGAATCAACAAAGATACTGAGTCAATTAACAGTTTCAGCAAAGCTGCAGGTTACAAAACAAACCCTCAAAAATCAAATACTTTTCTATAGAACTTCCAGACCTCAAAACATATAGCAATCATCAAAATCATCTAATATTAGTTAAAAAACAGAAAGTTCGATCGATGGAAGAGACTAGACAAGGCAGAATCAGAAACAAAAAAATTCAATAAACCGCTGTTTCAGAAGCGGAAAACATAAATTATCTAGGGAAAAAAATCTTAATTGAAAACAAAACTGCTGAGAAAACAGAAAGGCTTTATGTTAGGCTTAGAACAACAACTTATGTCATATTCCACAATACATTCTAAAGGGATATATGACCTTAATATTATGATCAGAATATAAAAAAATAATAAGAGAAGCAGATCACATACTTCTCCCAGCAATGGGTAACAGATGTATTCTTAATCAAACAATAAACAGAGAAAATTACAAAAGATAAAAGAGATAACTCTGATTACTTGAAACTGAAAAGCTTCAGCATAGAAAAAAAATCTATGAACCTAGGATAAGAAAGGAAGCAACTAAATAGGAAAAAAAATTTTGTATCAAATTACTCTGAAAAACGCTTGGTATTCAAGATATATAATTAACAAATACATATAAGACTAATAGCCATTCTCCAATAGGTAAATGGTCAAAAGACAGGAACAAATAGCTCTCAAAAGATGAACTGTGATGTATTTACAACCACATGAAAGAATACACCAAATCAATAATAAGAGAAACACAAATAAAAACATCCCTCAGGCTTCACCTCACACACTGAAAACTGGCAAAAATGATTTTTAAAATGGTAATAATCAGTGTTGGAGGAACTGTGGAATGATAGGCACACTAATACATTGTTGGTGGAGCTGTGAGATAATACAACTATTCTGGAAAACAATACCGAATTATGTAAATAAAGTGACTAAGATGTCCATGCCCTTTGAACTAGAGATTCCATTACTAGGCTTATACCCTAAGGAAGCTACTGATAAAAAGAAAGCCCCCATATAAAATAAAATATTTATAGCAACTCAAAGGAGATGACCATCAATTGGGAAAGAGCAAAACAAATTGTGGTACATGAATGTATTAAAATACTACTATGTTGTAAGAATGATGAATGTAATGAATACAGAGAAATATGGAAATATTTACATGAACTGACATAGTGAAGTAGAGCCAATTACACAATATATACAACTACAACAATACAAATGGAAACAACCACACACACACATACACACACACACACAATGCAAAAGTGGATGCTACAAAATTACTCTAAAAAAAAAGCATGACTTGAAAGAAGAGATATGAGAAGATACTCCTCTCCTCGCCTCACCTCCCATGGGAGGTCCAAAAGTGTTCCAACTGCACTTATTTTCAAACTTTTAATATACATTGATCAGTTATACTGATTTTTTCCTCTCCTCCCCCACAGTTTTCAAAAGAGCTTTTTGAAAATAGTATTTATTATATATAGGGCAGCTAGACGGTAAAGTGGATGGAGTGCTGGGCCTGGGAGTCAAATCCTGAGTTCAAATCTGGCTTCAGATACTTACTAGCTATGTGACTCTGGGCAAGTCACTTAATTCTGTTTGCCTCAGTTTCCTCATCTATAAAATGAACTGGAGAAGGAAATGACAAACCACTCCAGTATCTGTGCCAAGAAAACCCCAAATGGGGTCAAGAAGAGTCAGACATGACTGAACAACTTCCTTATTCCAGAACCGGCATTCTATCCACTGTACCACCAGCTATAAGAATAGCGTAGTGCTTTAAGGTTTGCAAAGTGTTTTTACATGTCATCTCATGTGAAATAACACAGAATGAGATACTTGAACAAGTAGGCTGAAGGCAGACTGGACAGAACCTTGAATGTCAGGAATTTATGCTTTATTATTTTTATTATTTTTTATTTTTATTTTTTTTATATTTATTTTCAATATAATATATGAATATGTTATACTTATTATATAGATAATGAGAAGCAACTGAATACTTTTGAGCGGACAAGTGAAGGATCATAAAGCAAGGTGTTAGAAGGAAGGTTACTCCAGCAGCAAGACCAGTTGCTATTACTACAGTCTACACTAAAGTGAGGGTCTGAATTAGTGTGATAGTGCCTGTAGTCAAAAGGAGGAAAGGGCTAGATATGTGAGATACTATGAGGGTAGAAACAGGACTTGGCAACTAAATGGACATGTAGGAGAAGAAAAAGATAAGTCAAGGGTGACTTCTGGATCACGAGTATGGGATAAGCAAAGGCATGAAGTAAAGCCAAAAATGAATGAGACTACCAAGGGAGAGAAAACGACAAGAAAAAAGAGTGAAGAACAACCTTGGGGTAATACCCAGGTTCACAGAAAAGAAAGAAACTAAGAAGGATAAAAAAAAATCTGTATGATTTAGAGCTAGAGGGGACCTTAGATATCATTGGGGGCTTCATTTACAAATTAGTAAATTGAAGGCCAGAGAGATAATGTGACATTCCCACTTATTACAATAAGTGGTCAGACTGGGATTAGAACCTAAATTCTCTAATTCCAAAATTATTTCTTTCCACTACCCAACACTGTCTTCTTAAAGAATGAGAGAATGCATTCCCAAAATACATGCAAATGCAATTACAAAATAATCTTTAAAGAAATAAAGAATGACAAATAATTGGAGAGATGATTCATTGTTCATGTTTGGAATATAGCAATATGATAAAATATGATGATACTATCTAAATTCATTCACAGATTTAGCATGTTACCAAATTCCCAAAGAGACACTTTATATAACTAGACAAAAAAAAATTCAAAGGAGAAAAAAATGTGGGAATGAAGAGGTGATTGCACTTTTAGATCTCAAATTACACTACACAGCAGTATTTACCAAAACTATTTGGTACTGGTTTCTAAAAAATTGAAAATAAAAACAGAACAGATTAGATAAGGAAGCATCAGAAACAACTGAACTAAGTGTTCAGAATGTAAGAACATAAATCATAAAATGCTTTACAAAAAACTCCCAACTGAAAAGATTTTCTGAGAAGACTGGAAAGCAGTTTGGCAAAAATGTGATTTACAGTAACCCAACATCTCACACCACATGCCACAATAAAAGCAAAATGCATATGTAACCTGAATACTAAAGATCACACCACAAAAAATTATAAGAGAACTGGATCAGATATATTCAGTTATAACTAGGGAAATATCTCAATCAATTATGGGACATATGGGTTATCACAAAGATAAAGCAGGTCATTTAAAAGTTTTTGCACAAAGAAAATCAACACAACTAAGATAAGGAAAGTATGAATACAGACTAAGGAAAAAATCTTCAAATTAAATTAAACATGCAATAAGGGATCCTATACCAAGATACACAGAAAACTAACATAATTATACAAATAACACAATTATACAAGACAAAGGGTCAATCTCCAATGGATAAGTGATTAAAGGACTTGAACAAACATCTCTCAAAATAATTACAAATTATTAACTATATGCAAGACTGTTCTAAGTGACTAATAATGAGAAATGCAAATCAGAACAACTGAGGTTTTACTTCATACACGGCAAACTGGCAAATATCAAAAAAGATAGAAAGTCAGTGTAGGAGGGGCAGTGGAAAGATAGGCCCACATTTTCTAAAAGCTATGAATGAATATACTAAAGCTATAAATTGTTCCAGATGATGAGGTCTAGAGGTGCTGGGACCCCGACATCACAACAAAAGAATTCGACTCAAGCTTTCTTTCAGTCAAAGACAAGCTTTATTAAGGATCTGCCACACTGACCAGACTCTTCTGGAATCTGAACATTTGTGAGCTATTGGCTAGGTTCTTAAGCAATCTGAGCACTCTAATGGAGACAAGATGGACGTTATATACAGAAAGACTGTGGGCTGGATCTAGGAGGAGGTGTCTCAGGAAGATCTGGATGGGAGTGGGAACTGAACACCTGGAACCTAGACCACCCGCACATCAGAGAATGGAACCTAATGGTGGGAAGGGGGGGAGAGGCCCATAAGGAGGTAAAACAATGGAGTGCTAGGCTAGGTTAAAGGTAACAGAACTGGGAGATTGGGCATAGGTGATGAGGCCAGTTGACGGGATTATGGCCTCAGGTGAAATCCAGAGATTTGGCTAGGTGGGAAAGTCCAGGGTTTCCTTCCTGGGGTCCAGATCCCATCACAGATATCATGGAAATCTATTTGAAATGACTAAATATATCTATATCCTTTAACCCGAAGATCACACTGCTAGGCATATACCTCCCCTATACAGGTTAAGGTCAAAGACATAAAAATCCATATATTTCAAAAGAGTCATAGCAGAACATTTTGTAGAAGCAAATAAACAGAAACAAAGTAGATGCCCATCTACCGGTTAACAACTAAACAAGTTATATAAATGTAATGGAATATTGCTACTCTCTAAGAAATAATAAACAGGAAGAATTCAGAAAAGCATAGGAAGACTTTCACGAAATGAAAACAATAAGCCCCCTAAAGTGACACCAAATACTATGTGATTATGATCGTACTTCACCTTAAAGAACAGATGAGAAAATGTGCTTCTCTCCCCTTTTCTTTGCCGAAGTGAAAGCATATTGGTATGGAACCCAGAACATCTGAAGGAATGTTCTATGGAATGAACACTTGGTTGTTGTGTTAGATTTGTAAAACTGCTTTTTCCCCCCTTTTTGCTTTTTAATCTTTCTTCTAAGGGATTGCTCTCTGCGTTGGGGAAAGGATAAGGGAAATATGTGAAAATAAAGCTATCAATAAACAAAATTTAAATTAATAAAAGTAATAAGAGAAGGTTCCAGAGAACTGATGATGAAAAACTTCTCTCAACTCAGTTGGGAGGTGAGAGACTAGGAATACAAAATGTTCATTAAGCTGTCAAATGCAGTCTGGTTGTGTTACAAGGAAGAATTCAACGGAGAAAGGAGGAGAGAAAAAGATTTAAGGGGAAATGACTGTCATAAAAACAAAAGACAATAAAAAGCTTTAAAAAAAATGGGGGCAGCTGGGTGGCGCAGTGGATAGAGCACCGGCCCTGGATTCAGGAGGGCCTGAGTTCAAATGCGGCCTCACACATATAACACTTACTAGCTGTGTGACCCTGGGCAAGTCACTTAACCCCATTGCCCAGCCAAAAAACAAAAACAGAAGAAACAGCACAGTGCAGAAAGAAAACCAAGAGAAGAATTACAAGGAAGAAGTAATGGTCCACAGTGTCAAGATGTTAAAGGATCAAGGGCCAAGGGGAGAAAAACCCCTTGAGATTTGTTCGTAATAGGTTTTGGGCCACCTGTAAAAACATTTTCAGTAAAGCGCTGGGAAAAGATTGCAGGTGGGTGACAAGGAAGTTAAAGACTATTGGGGGGGGTCGGAGGAGGGAGTGAAGAGGAGAGATGGAGATGCATTTTGGGAGGTAACAAGAGTGGAGACACTTTTTTAGTTGTTTGTTTTTAAAGGCTAGAGGAAACCTGTGCCCTAAAGAGCCAGAGGAGAGAGAGAAAACGGAAAAATTCAAAAGACAAAAAGGGGCGACTAATGGAATGAAGACTCCACCTGGTGACAGGGGGAAGGAAGGAAGGATTCGACTTCGTCCTCAGAGAAAAGAAGAGCAAAGGGTAAATTTTAGGATTGTGGACCGTCGGGCCCAACCCGATCCTTTTTCAGATGGGAGGAAGTACATGAAGGTGGCCCTAGGTGGCCCACGCGGCTAAGTGGCGGAGACAGGGACGGCACCCAAGTGCTCCGGCCCCAACCCCCGAAGGCTGCGTAGTCTCTCCGGGAGAACTGAGGGGGAGGAGGGGCGTGAGACGCTCCGGGCCTTCCCCGCCTCCTCTCCCCAAAGCCTAGGCGGAGCGCTGAGTACACCGGCAGGTGTCAGGGGGCCAGGAGGGGCGGGACCGCGGCGGGTGGGGGGGGGGAGACAGCGGCGCTTCTATCGGCCCTCTCTCTCCCTTCTTCCCTCCCTTCTCCCCACGCAGGCGCGAGCCTCGTTTGGAGAAGAGCCGCCAGGCGGCGTGAGGCCGGGGCAGGGATTGAAGTAGAGGTGGGGTAGTCGATGCAAAGGGCCGGCGAGTCGGAGGAGGCCCGGAACCCGCGCCCTACACGTGGGACCAGAAGCCAGAACAAACCGAAGCCAGGCAGTCGCTTCCTCCCGGGCCTCGAGAGCAGACCAGGCCCCGCCCCTTGGGCGGCGCGCGCTCAGGGGCGGCCGCGCGCCCCCCGTCGGGCGGAGCGGATTGTCTGCGGCCGCCCGCTCGGAGCCGCGCCCTGGAGTGCCTCGGGCCCCTGGGCCCCTTCCCAGGCGATGGCCAGGGACATTCCGCGGCCGCCTAGGGGCCCCCGCGCGGAATAGGGGGGGGGACTTGGGCCCCTGTCTTTTACTCATCCCCTCCCCCTCCCCGACACTCACCTCAGCCGAGTCCCTCGCGGACTCCTTCCGGGCCGCAGTGGGGTCGGAGCTTGAGGAGTGGGGGGGTTGAGGGGGGGCCTTCTCTTTTCCTTTTCCGGGGTCAGTGAGGCGGGGAGTGCCTGGACTAAGCTAGGAGAGGGGCGGGAGGGGAAGGGGGAGAGAAGCCGTGGTCGGCTCGCGCGAGCCCGAACGCTCCCCAGGGTAAGGAAGGAGGCAGCGTTGCCGCCGTCCGGCACGCTCACCCGGGCTGGGCCTGGGGATCGGCGGCGGCGGCGGCCTTGACGGCCCACTCGGGATTGGGCGCCCTCGGCCGGCTGACCCCACCCCCAGCCGCGCCGCCGCTCGCTTCTCGGCGGGGCCTCCAGCCAGGCGGCCCCCCGCTGCGCCCACAGACCGTTCTGGCCCCGCTCTGTATCAGCATCGAGGATGCAGAGCTTGCAGGGATCGGCCCCCGCTCCCTCAGGTGGCTGTACCCACCCCCGCAATGCACTGACGAAAGAGGGCAGGCCCAGAGAGGGACCTGAGAATCCGCCCCCCACCACACGCACAGACACGCACGCGCCCCCGAAGTCCGGTTACCGTGAGAAAAACGAGCCCTAGACGCAGCTAGAACCAAGGTTCTCCTGACTGCAACTCCAGACCCAAAAGGAGGCGAACCTGTGACGTCATTTGCGAACATCTTTTTAGCGTCATACTATTAGTAAGGCAGCTAGGGCGCTGGACCTCTGGAGTCAGGAAGACCCACCTGGGTGACCCTCAGCAAGCCACTTAGACTGCCTCATCTATAAAACCGGGATGATAATAGCCCACCCTCGTCTATAAAATGGGGATAACAATAGCACCTACTTGGAAGGATTGTTAGGAGGAAATGAGATAATATGCATATAATGCTCTGCAAATCTTAAAGCACTATATAAATGCTAGCTATTATTAACAAAAGCAAGCAACATTTAGGTCACTGCTATATGTCGTGGAGGTGCTACCTCTTTTGATTTCTCCCTATCCTACCTATAGGTAATCCCTATCAAATCTCAGACTATTCCCTCCAACCGCTCATGTGCAGCTAATCATGTTGCTACTTTGTCATTAGTGTACAGCTTTATATCCCCGGGGCCTAGCATTAAGCACCTTATAATTAGCAGATGCTTGCCAAATAGTTTTTTTTTTAATTCACTTGAGACCTGGCCCTGCGGGCTCAAATAACCCTCTCATAAGTACCTATGAAACAACTAATTCGAAATTTTGACCACTAAGAGATGAGTAATATTAATATTCCTTGTAGAAATTGCTAAATTGCACGTCGGCTATTGATATTTATCTGTCAGAAGTTTATTTTAATCAGCTCAGATGAGTAACACTTCCATTCATTAAAGAACATAATGGACTTTTTTGATTTGTTCTATTTTTTCACTTTCCTACAATCTTTTTAATATCATCATCTCTTTTCTGCAGGGTCCTACTGCCTCCTGGTGTCCTTTGCTCTCTTTCCCAAGTAACCACTGTTGTTTTGAGGTGTTATATTTATAAACACCTAGAGTATAATGCTACCAGGTAAAGATAGAAACTAGAGCTGTGATTTCTGTGGTAAAGGAATTTCTTTCCACTGCAGGTCTGCATCTTTTCTACAACTTTAAGTCTTAAAAAGTGCCGAAAGTTCCTGAAACTACTTTGTATCAGAGATGGGATCTGCACCTGGCTTCTTCACTTTGTGGACAGCTCTATCCACTAAACAAGGGTGCCTCCTGCTGCCAACTTACTAGTCTTTTAACCTGATACCTTTCTTCCGAATTTTTCTACCTGTGAGTAAAACAACAGAAATTTTGCCCTTATTTAGAAATAAATGTTTCAGCCCCATTTATTCCTGTATTCATGAATAATCATATTTTTTCTGATACTGCCACATGAAAATATAAGAATGTCACCTAGCATATATTAGGTCAAACCAGCAGTCTGTCCTGCCAAACTAGTATTCTGAAAGTGGTAGCATGAAACTCTGAACTGAGTTCTCTTTTTATCCCTCTCATGAGTTCAATTTTACAGAAACAATTCCAAAATCTCTATATCCGGCACTAATGTTTCACAAACTCAATTGTACATATCCGACTACTTCCTATACATTACCCAGCTATGCCATACTAAACATATCCCAAGCTAAAATCGTCATCTTTTTCCCACCCAAATTTCCCTAGTTTTGTTTGCTATCATCACCCATGCTCAGCAGTTCCTCTTCATCTTTGACTTTTTCCTCTCCCTCTTTTCACCTACATTCCTCAGAACTAATAAGCATCTCTCCCATCCTTCTCCTTTTTTCCATTCATAGTGCTTAGTTTTTAATTGAAGCCCTTATCACCTCTCAGATAACTAATAGCTTTGCAACTGCATGTTTTTTTAGTTGCCACCTCCCAAACATTTTTTACAAAAGAGATTCATTCAATGTATTGGGAGCCTTCCTTTCATTCTCTGTATGTTGGGCAGAAGTCAGAAAAGCATATAAGCTGTACATCAGTTGTCCATTTTTCTTGTTATGTGACAAGCCCATCTTTTTTTTAACCACTGATGCATTTTAATGACATTATTTATCCCATTTCTCCTGTTTAATTCCTTATTTGTAATATTACAGCCTTATCTTGCTGATTTCCAACCCTGAAAATGATCCATACTTTCTCTGTATCTGACTTACAATAAAATTCATTTTTAAAGTGTTAATTTTTTAAAAGATCATATGGATATGTTAACAAAAGAAAAGACCTATAGGTAAGTTACGTTTTATAAACATTCAACATAAAATCCATTAGTAATATTCAAAGGTTAAAACCCAACAAGCTAAATAGGATTACAAATTGATCATATTCTTGCTGAAGGCTCAGGTTTAAAAGTTATAGCACTTGTGGCTGTATTCTAAAGTTACCAGTGCAATGCCTTATTTGTTAGGAAGGTGCCAAAGGAAATAGATGAGGTTTTAGAAAGACATCACCAACCGAAGACTGAGGTATAACAGCATAAAGAGTTTCAACAATTGGGACACTTTCTGGAGCTTTCTGCCAAAAGCAAAGTTGCTAATAATTTCTTGTCTTGCCCTAATGATAATTTCACTCTTCAAAAGGTAGAAGTAGCAGCTAAGAAAACTGCTATGCTGCTGTACCAGATTCTCCTTAATATGAAGGAACTAGTTGCTGAAGTAGAAATGAGAGTAACCTTGGGAGGGAAGTAGTCTCTCATCTTAGAGTTTGTAATAAAGGTAAGAAAGCCAACCATGGTCTAACACACGTATTAGAATTTGTGCCAGCATATTTCAAAGGGCTAAGAGATAGTATAGGTCCAATCCCACAGGCCAAAATTCTACTGGGACAAGTCAGCCCAGGAACAGAAGAAGCTCCCAAGAATGAAATTCTCAAGACACAAAGAAACAATCCTGATGAGGAAAAAAAGGGAAATGTCCAAAGAAACCAATCTTGGGTACACAATGAATATTTCAACCAATGTAGATTGTTTTTTAGGCAGATAGAAATACAGACCAAATCATTAATGAATATAAATTCAAAAATTTTAAATAAAACCAACCCTGGCAAAATGTACTGCAGCAATTTATTAAAAAAAAAAAAATCAGCCGCTATGCTTAAGTTGAATTTATACCAGAGATGAAGGAGGGTTCGACATTAGGAAAACAATTATGTTAAAACCTAAAACATCCCAAACCACATGATCATGGTAATAGATGCAGAATAATTAATAAATGTTAGATAATAAATGCTCTCATTTATACTAAAGAAGAAAAAGCCCTACAAAGCATAGGTAGAGAAGCATCTTTTTTTTACATGTTAAAAAGCATCTATCCATAGAAGCTTTTTAAAACCTCTTTTGTAGTAGAACCAAAAATATTAAGATTCTGTGGACTCTAAAATCCTTTCCAGACTCCTAAGTTGCCCCTTGAAAAGGTGAGTGATAGGTTAAAGACAAAGAGACCTTTCATAGGGAAATAGTTGAGAACCATAACCTAACAACTTTTATTAGGCTTACGTTATTGTCCTCCTTACCCCAGAAGTGATTGGCTAGAACCCAGCCTTCTTCATTGAAGAGGAATTAAAATATTGATGGAAGAGATAAAGTCTTTTTTTTTTTGCTTCAGCCACCAATTTCTTAAAGGGAATGATTAAAGAAGTAATAAGATGGGAACCTTATTGCTCAACTGTTTTGGAAAATTAACCCAAAACTGTGTTTTATCAATCACTGTCTTGTGCAAGATTCTGACAAATGTTACCTCAAATCATCTTGGAAGAAAGTAATATCTGAGAGCATGGAAGACTATTCCAGTTTGGTCATTTCTTTCTCCAAGCTAGATATTCTTGGATAGTTGATTAATGTTAAATTAAATAAAAGTGTTTATGATAAACTTCACCCTAAAACACAAGTACAGTATTAATCTTTTTCTTTGATAGATCTAAAACCAAGAGCTTTCATTATATGCAATGGGAAACACTAGAAGTTTTCCTAATAAATACAGGAGGAGGAAAAAAAAATACTCCTTTCCCCACTGTCATTTAACATGGTTCTCAAAATACCAGTAATAGTAATGACGAAAGAAATTAAAGATATAAAGACAGGCAAAAAGGAGAAAAAACTCTCCCTATTTGCTGACGCAATGGTGTTCTTAGAAAATCCTAAGGAATCATTGAAGAAATTAATTGAGATGAATTAGCTTGAGTAAAGCTGTAGGCTACAAAAGTAACCCATAAAAATCAACAGCATTTGTGTATAACAATAACAAAATCCAGGAGGCAGTAATAGAAAGAGACATCTATTCAAAATAACTACAAAATTCATAAACTATCTGGGAGTCAGTCTATAAATGCACAGAGTGAGAGAGATGTACAGATAATGTAATTACAAAATATTCCTTAGGAAAGTAAAGAACAATACTCAGTGCTCATGGCTGAGCTAAGCCAACATAATAAAAATGATAATAATATCAAAGCTAATTTATAAATTTAGTGAAGTACCAAACCACCAAAGGGATACCTAACAGAGTTATACAAAGGAATAAAATTCATTTGGATCAATTAAACAGTCCATCAATGTGCATTAAAATCTTACTCTGTATCAGTCACTGTGCTAGGTAGGGACTGGTGATACAAATAACAAAGGATAAAAATATCCCTATTCTCGAGGAGCTTACATACTATGGTGGGGGCAGAAAGTGGGGGAGAAGAGAGAGAGAGAGTACATATAGAAGTATATACAGAATCAATACAAAGAGAGTAAATACAAGGTAGTTTAGAAAAGCAGGTTAGCAGTTGAGAAGATTAGGAAATGCTTCGTGTAAAAGCACCTCAAATAGATGCTTAAGAAAAAATGGGATTCATAATGTGCTGGTGAGGGGAGAAGAACACTCCAGGTATAGGGAGCACATAGTACAAAAGCATAGAAACTGGAGATGAAGTGTTATGTATGAGAAACAGAAAAGGCAGATCTTGGCTGAATCACACTGAGTGTAGGAGAGGGAGTAATGTACAATAAGGCTGGAAATATTGGGGGGGGGCAGGTTTGGAGAGGTTTTAAACTAAGCAGAGGGGTTTATATTTTATCTTAGATCAATGGGAAGTCACCAGAGTCGAATCAGTAGGGAAGTGATATGGGCAGGTTTGTGCTTAAGGAAAATCATTTAGCAGCATTAAAAGATCAAGATTATCAAAGGAAATGATGAAAAAAAAAGATAGGAATGAAGGAGGAATAACATTTCCAGATTTCAACCTATATTATAAAGCAGTAGTCATCAAACGCATTGGTACTGGCTAAAAAATGGAAAACTAGACCAATGAAACAGGAAGACCTGAAAATATAAATTACCAGAGAAAGAATTCTCTATTTGACAAGAATTACTGAAAAAAATTTGAAAGAAGTCTGGCAGAAATTTGGTGTAGATCAACAGCTTATACTATATCTCAAAATAATTTGAAAATGGACATTACCTGAATATTAAAGATCATACCATGAACAATTAGAAGAAAACAAGATTCTATACATGTCACAGGTATGGGTAGGTGGTGAATTCTTAAACAAAGCACGGAAGCAATTTCAAAAAATAAAATAGTTAATTTCAGTTTCATGAAATTGAAAAGCTTTTGCATTAACGCAATTAAGGAGAAGAAGGGAGTGATCAACTGGGGGAAAATCTTCATATTAAAAGCTCCATCATGGTTTGACATCCAATAGACAACTAATAAAAATATATGATATGGAAATGTTCTCAAAAGAATTTTAAACTGTTAATAACCATATGAAAGAGCTATCTAGATCACTAACGATAAAATAAATATACATCAACATGATACCAAGGTTTTACCTTACTTACATACACAGAAAATTGGCAAAAATAATGAAAGATGGGAATACTCAATGTTGGAAGGCATGTACAAAGGTGAGAACACTAATACATTGTTGTTGGAGCTGTGAATTAGTACATCCAATCTAGAAAGCTATCTGGAATTATTTGAAGTAACAACAATATTATATATTTTATTTAGAATCTCTGGGTCCATATTCTTAGACCCAGAGATTCTACTGCTATAGACCCTAAGGAAATAAATGACAAATAGAAAAGCTCCATATACATAAA